TGCGGAGCGCGCAGGGCTGCGCGGGCCCGTGTGGGAGCGCGGCCTCCCCGCTCGCACCGCGGGAGCCGCTTGCCCAGCGCGCTGAATCATCCCCCTCCCCGCAGCCCCAGCGGCCTCTCCGGGAGCAAAAGGGAAAAATAATAATAATAAGAAAAAGAGCAAAATAAAATAAAAATAATTATATCAAGTCCACAGTACTAAGTATCTTTCTGCCGTTAATTGCCGCGCTGCAATGGTGATAACGCGCAGTTATCCTCGGGAAAGTTGGCCAAGACAGGTTAAATAATTTAATAAGGAACTGCTTGTAATTATGTTATTTACAAGGTATGACAGAGGTTCGAGGGAGAAACAGAAGCTGATCCCAGGGAAATGGACGGGTTTGGGTGACCCCTGGAGCACGGAGTTTGAATTATGGAGATGGGGGGCTGAGAGGTGACTCTGGACTAGAGGAGAACAAGGTGACTTCTCACCCCGGCACATTTAACTTTTAAATCCAAATAAGCGGCTCGCGTTACGAGATCGTGGCACTATGCAGGAAAAAGCCCTAATCGCGCCCAGTTCCGAGGTGCCCGGGGAGAGGGCTGCCCTCTTCCCACCGACGGGGAAACGTGACTAAAAAGTTACAACGGGAAAGGAAAGGGAAAAAAAAAAACTGCTATTAAAAATAAACCTGGGCGACCTGATTTTTTTTCCTCTTACATCTACCCTTTGCCGAATTAATTATATTGAATATATATTCACAAGACAATGTACCTAATGACACATACACTATTTAACGACACATACGTTGCTCGGGATAACAACAATAAACCTATTTCACGCTTAAAATATATGTATATATTCTAGTGGCAGATTTCTTAATTACTCGGACACATAAATTAGAAGAAAAATCGATGTGCTCTGCCAGTTTAATACCCACCCCCCCAAACGAGCCAGGGCAAAATACAAAGTTAGTTACTCGACTGTTAAGAAAAGCTTAAACTTTCTCACCTGTTTGGTCATTGAATCTATTAGGCGCACATACAAATCCTGTTCTGTTCTAACTCCTGGGGAGGGGGAAGCAGAGACAAATTCGCGTTAGCGTTTCAGGCGCGAACCACCCAAATTACATAATGAAAACATGAGGTCAGTCCATTAAGCGCTATATACAATATATCAACACTCGCGTCAGCCTTGAAAAATTAAAAAAAAAAAAAAAAAAAAAAAAAAGGGCCATGCGTAACGTATGGCCGGGGTCATGTCAGAGCGCGGGGCAGTTGGTGCCCGAGAGGAGCCGCTCCCGCGTGGGGCAGCCCGTGTCCCCGCTGCATCCTGCGGGACGGGCGCTCAGCATTCCCAAGAAACACTGGGGATAACCCGCCACGGGGCTCCGTGATGGATACGCGCGGTTATCCCGCCGCACGCCTTCCTGATATCCAGGGAATCTGCCCTGCGTGGGCTCCGGCTCTGCTGCGGCTGCTCGCCGTGGTTACCCCATCGCAATAATTAACATTAATTTGCGAAACCGAAAAAAAAAAAAGTCACTTAAAAGTGATGTTCTGTTGGAGCAGGTATCGATCCCCTTTTTTACTTTCCACTTCAAGACCAACCGGTTAATCATGTGAAGTACCATTGACTTATTGATCGTTTATGTTTTGTTTTCCTTATATGCCAAGAAAAGAGCCGTGTTTACACGCATGTAATTTTAATCTCAAAATCTTTATGCCCCTAAAAATAATAAAAAATAAAGGCCTCGGAAAAGAAAGTACACTTTTTTTTTTCGTGGCACACACACGCTCAGAAATGATGCAGCACCAACTTACCGTTGCTGTACAATAACTGAAGTTTGTAATGAATCCCATTGTTAGTTTTCTCATTGTTTGGCTCCTGCAATAACGATAAATAATTGCGTTCAGCATGAAAAGCCCCTTCCTGCTGCCGAGCCCGCGGTCTGTTCCCCCC